TCTTATACGGGTTCACAGGCGTCTCACACATTCAATTTCCTGAATTCAATGAGCTGAAACAGACAGCATGGCTCTCTTCCCTCTCTGTAATACATTATGGTGAGAAATTCTTTTCAGATCCAGGGGAATTGTAAAGCCTTCAGCACGACAAACCCCAAGGAAAAATGTGAACAGCATCCATTCAAAGCAGGTAGTGAGTTTTTACCCAGGTGAGGCTCCCAAGCCTCCAGCACGCTAATCTGCTGTACTTTGAGTGGGACCATGTTCAAAATCTGTTCACCATCACCAAAATAATGTTTGAAAAAATGCAGAAAAGGCAAACCGTCCTAATATAACTCCAAATGTCAATCAACAAGGCATTCTTCAAACATAAACTCAACCATGGCCTATCATTCATGGAGGGCATAAAAAGTAGCTCCAGAAAGTCCCCCCCCAGAACTTTCCAGAATTCCTCTCCGTCTCCCTCTCAACAGGCTAGAGCTTTCTCAAGTCATGAGGATCCTGCCCGAAGAGATCTGCCTACATACCTAAAAAAAAAAAAAAAGCTGCCACTTGATTGACAAGACTTTCTCCATACATGGGTGCTCTGAGCTGGGAAGGCAGACAGGCAACGCTGGATTAACAAGTGCTTCCACCTAAAACTGACAGGCAGAATTCTAATCAAACTTCCGTCAGCCTGAAGCCCTGTTCTTGACGAGGGAAGGCTGAGACAGAAACAAGCCAAGTTACCTGTGCTGCAGGGGCAGCTGAAGGTGAGACAGAGACCCACACCCAAAGCCCACCCCAGCCACCAAGGCGTCATGCAAGCACGTTGACAACACCTGCCATGAAACTAGCAATGCCGCACACTTGATCTTTCTTGAGTTCTAGGCTGCTCAAAGGAGTGACTCTTGAAGAAGTCGGGAGTGGGTGGGGGGAGGCGAGGACGCACTGTACCACCACTGGAACAGCTTCCCAGGGCCGTGCAGCCCGCGAGGTCACCTCTACTGAAAAGTTAACAGTAACGGCCCAAAGCCATCTGAGAAACATAACATTTTAATAGATGAAATAAATACTCCAGTACATGCAAGGTAAAAACTTGACATCAGGGGAAGAAAAAAAAAATCACTCTATAGTGTAAATTAAAACATAAAACACACGCTCACAGTAGCTCCCCCCCCCCCACATCTGCAAACCGCATGGCAAAGTCAGACTTTCCACACCAAGTATACTCCTAATTCAACACGACTGCTTCAAAAAATGACATACAAAAAAAAAAAAAAAAAGGTAGCTACATCCACGTCTAAGGAGTGAAAACTGAGGTAACCTTTCTTTTAATTAGAAAACAAAAAGAAAACACCGAGAGAGAGAGAGAAAGAAATGAGCCCATGCCCGGCTTCCTGCCCAACGGAGAATAAAATTTAGCCAAGAAGATGGGTTGGGGGGCGACAGCGCCGGGGGTCACCCATCTTCCGTGTCCCAGGTCCTGGGCGCGGGCTCCAGGCGCGCACGGGGTTCGGGGCATGGGGACCGCTCACCTACGATTTCTTTGGTATAAACGGATGGGGCAGAGTTAGATATCTTCCTTTCGTCTGGGGGTGGGGTGGGGTGCTAATTCACAGAATTGGAATTCACTGGCGGTAAAGTCCTGGGCGAAGACCTCTCCCGTAAAGCCTGAGATAGAAGGGTACAGCCTTCAGACACGGCACACGCCGAGTTCCTCAGCCTCTCCCTGTGGTCCGACATCTTGGCGCCCCCGTCGGGGTGCTGCGCCAGATCCCTGAGGCACTGGGTCAGGAGCACGCAGGCCGACACGACGCTCATGGCGCCGCCCAGGATGGCGGTCTGCACCGCCTTGCCCTCGGCGCTCACGGCGGCCGCGCGACCCAGGAACTGCGGCTCGGTGGCGAAGCCCACCAGGGCGCTCACGGCCTGCACCAGGGGCCCGCTGAAGAGCGCGCAGCGGCTGCGCGCCAGCTCGCTGGGCGCCGCCTTGACCTCGCGCACGCACGCCAGCAGCGCCGAGGCGCTGGTGCTCATGCACTTGACGCCCAGCTTGAACTGCTCGCGGGAGAAGCGGTCCCGGGACTTGTCGCTGGCCAGGGCGCACGCGTCCGTCAGGAACTTGAGGTTGCGCGACAGGCCCTGCGACACCTCGAGCAGCAGCTGCGGGGTCATGTCGGCCAGCGGCGTGGCGCGTAGCACGGCGCAGCCCTGCTCCACCTCGTGGCGGCAGCGCGTCACGCGGTAGCGGTCCACCAGCCCCGGCTGCGCGGGCTGCGCGCCCGGCGTGGCCACGGCCGCCAGGTAGGCCGCGTGGGCCGAGCACTCGGTCAGCGACACCACCAGGTCGCCCAGCTCGGCCAGGCTGTCCCCCGCCTCGCCGAAGCGGCCCATGTTGAGCTGGCTCTGCACGTCGTGGGTGAGGATGGAGAGCCCCTTGGTGCGCGCGATGATGGTGTCCCGGCACTGCTCGAAGGACTCGGCGCCGGCGCACGACGAGGCGGCGGGACCCTCGAAGAGCACGGGCCGCGCCTCGCTGGACAGCAGCAGCAGGTCGGCCACCAGCTGCATCTTGCCCTTGCAGTGGTCGCACACGGACACCAGCCTCTTGCGCGGCTGCGAGCAGGCCCCGCCGCCACCGCCCGCAGGAGCCGGAGAAGCCGCCGCCTCGCCACTGGGCTTGCCGGCGCTGCCGCTAGCCATCGCGCCCGGCGGGCACTGGCATGCCGCTGGGGAGCCTGCTTCCACCGCCGCGGCGCCGTCCCCGCACCATCATGCCATCCACCGCCGCGGGCGCAGGGTGCTGGGCGGCGGCGCGCGGCGGGCCCGCGGGCCAGGGGGCGCCGGGGGCGCTCGGGGGCGCGGCGCGGGGCTGCGGCGTTCGGCCTCCCAGCCGGCTTGCAGGAGTCATGAACCGGGGCAGGGCACACTCAGAGTCCGCGCCCCTCGCCGCCGGGCTGCCAGGAAAGTCCCCTCTGCTGGGCCGCCGCCGCCGCCGCCTCCGCCGCCGCCTTCCTGGGCATGGCCCGGCCCGGCGCGGGGAAGCAGGGAGTTGTCTTTCCTTCCTTCCTTCCTTTCTTTGAAACCAAAATCCTTTCCTCGGGGAGGAGCGCGGGTGGCGGCTCCGGCGCGCTGCGTTGCGCTGTCAGCCGCCGCAGGGCCGGCGGCGCACGTGGGCTCCGGGCGCAGGGACCCCGTCAGGCGGCGGCGCTGGCCCGCGACGGCGGCCGCGCCCGGCGCATCTCCTGCCTCCGGCCCTCGCGCAGCGGCGCCGGGCGGCCGGGGCTGCAGGGCCGAGGGTGTGGCTGGCGCTGTGGCGGCCGCGCCGAGTCAGAGTCGGGCGGGAGCCTGCCCGGATGGCGCACAGCGGCCGCCCCGCTCGCCCGTCCGCGCGCCACGCCCGGGCGTGCCGGGCTCCGCGGCGGCCCCTTCCCGCCTGGCCGGCTCAGAGCGCGCGGCCCGGCGCCGCGGCGGCACGCCCTCCCCGACCGCGCGCCCGGCGGCCGGCCGCTGGCTGTGGGCGCAGGTCCATCGTCGTCGCCTCCTGGTCGCGGGCCCGCGGCGGCTGAAGTCTCCCGAGGCCCCGGGCCCCGCGCATCGGACGCCCCTGCGCGCGTCTCCCCGGCGGCGCGGCCGACTCAGAAGGTCTCGGACGCGCTGCGGCCACCGGCCCGGGCTCCGGCTCCTGCCATTTTTGTCCACCGCCAACTTCCGAGCGAGAGGGGCGAAACTGAAAGGAAGGGCGGGGGCCGCGGGGCCGGCACCCGCCTCCTCCCCGCGCGGCTCACCTCGGAGCGCGGCCGCCGCGGGCTTCTCCCCTGCTGTGCGCGCCTCGCCCCCGGGCTCGCCGCCGCCGCCGCCGCCTCGGCCGTGACCTCTCCGGAGCCTATAGAAATCTTTTGTGTGGCGTCACCGCCTTTCGTTTAAATCCCGCTTCCTCCTTTCGCCCTTCCTCCCGCCCCCTCCGCCGCTCCCGGATGCTTGCGCGATGCGCTGCTCCTCCCCCGGGAAGCTGGGTGGCTGCGGGGGGACGCCGCCGCCGCCCTGCGCGCCCGCCCTGGCTGCGGGGCCGGTGGTCCCTGGCCTATCCCGGGCTTATGCCCGGCTTCGCCCCCGCGGCTGCGGGAGGCAGCCCCGCCTCGGGCCGAAGGGGTCTCTGCGCACCCGCGTGGGAGGTCGGGGCGCAGCAGCCGCTCGGCCTTACGTAAGCGCTCGGCCGGTCGGCCGGGGGGCCCCGCGCCTCCTTCCCGCCCCAGCCAGCGAGTCTCAAAGGGGGGACCTGTTTTCAGGGCAGGACGCTGGGCCAACCTCGCCTGGGGACTCGCTGGGGTCCGAGCACCCTCTCGAAGCGCTTCCCCTGGCCTTTGTTGTGTTGGCTCCTCTTCCTCCGCGGGGTTCTGGCCGGCGGTGCGGGGCAGAGCGAGAGGGAGAGCCCGGGATCCCGAGTCCCGAGAGAGGGGCCCCTTGCTCGCCGCCGCCGCCGCCTCGCCTCGCCCTCGGACTGCATGGGCCGGGTGCAGTTCCAGCGCCGGCCTTGCACCCGCCTGCCTGGGGCCCATCCTAACCCGATTATTGAGGGACTGCGACCTGGCGCGGGTTCTGCCTCCCACGTTGTCCCATCGCTGGGCACCGCCCGCTTGAGGACATTCTGGGAAGCCAGGCTCCCTCTGGGCGAGGAATAGGGGCCCTGAGCGGAACCGATGCTTCACCCCCCACCTCCTGGGCGTTATCAGGACCCTGTGCGTCCGGAAGTAGTTGTAACACCTGGGCTTCCTCCCAGCCCTGCCCCCTCCCAGGGGCCCCTGAGGCTGGCAGGCTGTGCTGGGCCAGGCTGCGTTAATGGTTAATGGTCGTCCCCCACCCCCCAACCCCCAACGCAGGCCGCCTTTTCTTTCTTTCTTTCTTTCTTTCTTTTTTTTTTCTTTCCTTTTTTCCTTAGCCAGTTACAAATGTTAACTTCCAGGTAGGAGGAGGTTGCAGTGGTCCTCCAGGCGCAGCTCCGAGAGGAAGCTCTTAATACATCCAGGGGCAGCAGGTACAAGGCCGGCTGCAGTTAGTGGCCTGCCTTACTCCTGACAATGCCCTTAGCTGGCTTTCCGGGCCTAGATGAGCCTGCTCATTTTGCAATCAGAGGTCAATGAAGCTGAAGACTAACCCAGCAGAAATTCTGTAGCGCTAATCCCCTATTTTTTCTACGAGGGAAGAAACGGTGGAATAAATTTAGCTCTTTCCATGGTAACCCAGGAATAGCACCTCAGTCCCAAGCTCCAGAAACTTAGGAGACAGAAGTCAAAAATCTCTGTCTAGTTTAGGGCTTTGGGGTATAAGTACACACACACACACACACAACCAGCCACACACACAGCCACAACCACTTGGTGCTTCTGGGGTCCTATTTGCTGCTGCTTTTTTTTTTTTTTAAGATTTATTTTATTTATTTGAAAGAGTTACAGAGAAAGGTAGAGACAGGTCTTCCATCCTTTGGTTCACTCCCCAAATGGCTGCAACAGCCGGAGTTGTGATCCGAAGCCAGGAGCCAAGAGCTTCTTCTGGGTCTCCCACGTGGGTGCAGGGGCCCAAGGACTTGGGCTATCTTCTACTGCTTTCTCAAGCTATAGCAGAGAGCTGGATCCATCCTTTGGTTCACTCCCCAAATGGCTGCAACGGCCGGAGTTGTGATCCGAAGCCAGGAGCCAAGAGCTTCTTCTGGGTCTCCCACGTGGGTGCAGGGGCCCAAGGACTTGGGCCATCTTCTACTGCTTTCTCAAGCTATAGCAGAGAGCTGGATCCAAAGAGGAGCAGCCGGGACTCGAACCGGCACCCATATGGGATGCAGCGCTTCAGGCCAGGGCTTTTAACCCTCTGCGCCACAGCGCCGGCTCCAGCTGATGCTGTCTTGTTGCTGTACTAGTGCTAACCATGGATGATCCCACTCAGTTCAGTAATTGTGGTTTAGCATAGAAAGTGGGTAGTCTTTGGGGTCCTTCCTGCTTCCTTTTTATTGGGGCACCTCCTCCTACACCCGCCCTTCCAGGTAGTGTGCCTGCCTTCCTGTCAGCCCAACTCCCTGCCATTGTTCATTCAAGCCACAGACCCTGTGCACCTGCCAGGCGTCAGGTCCTGCCAGGCACCAAAGGTACATAATCAGTACAGTTAACAGCACGTCCCAACCTCCGGGTAAGAGAGTCCAGGGAAGGCAACAGCTTCACAAACTAGTAATCACCAGCTCACCATTGCTACAAGGAGAGCATAAAGAAACTAGCAGAGAGGAATAAGCTTACCAAATATGCAGGGCGCAGTCAGCATCATGTGATTCCTTCTGGCCAATGAGATGAAGTATAGCCGAGATGGGCCTGGTCATGTGATTTCCTTTGACCAATAAAATGAAGTGTTGCCCAGATAGGCATTTCCGGGAGGTCAAAGCAACCGGAAGCTAGCCGGCAGCTTGCCGCAGCCTCACACTTTGTCGGAAGTGCTTTGCAGATTGCTCCAGTTGGTGAGCCCAGGTAACTGCCCAGAGCATTCTCGAGCTGCATTCGAGGTGGCACGAGAGTACAAGGTGGATTTGTTGGGGGGAGGGCCGGAGACTGTGGGTGATTGATTGCTGTATCTTAGTCTCTGTTGACTCCTGCCCCCCCCTTCGCTCTTCGGCTGCGTGAGGCTGCACAGCAGCCCAGCTGCACCTGTAAGGAACGAGCCCTCAAACACCCCGGATCTGCCAGCACCTGCCTCTTGGCCTTCCCTGCCTCCCTGCCTCCAGCGCTGGAAGCAATAGATTTCTATGACTTAATAAAGAACCCAATCAAAGGTATTTTGTTATAGCAGTACAAAGAGATGAAGATATCGAGGGAGGGAGGGAAGCTGAGAGTGAGTGGATGGAGAGTCGCCCAGGAGGGGCTGGTGCCATGCTGGCCCTGGCTGATGGAGTCTCAGCGCTGGATCAAGGCCCGTGCTGCGAAGGCATGCAATAAAGAAGCGAAGAAGCCGGATGCTGGGTGGAAGGGCATGTGGCACCGTGGGGAAGACCCCCACCTGGGGCGCCTGCATCCCAGATGCACTCCTGATCCCAGCTTCCCGCATGTGTACGAACGCTAGGAAGCAGCGGATGCTGGCCCAGGCCCCTGCGTCTCCAACACCCATGTGGGAGACCTGGATTGAGTTTCCAGCTCCTGGTTTCAGCCTGGCCCAGCCCCAGCTGGCATGAACCAGAGGATGGGAGATTTCGCTCTGTGCAAATCAAACAAAAGTGGTTGCAAAGAGAGAGCTGGGTGGTGGTGGGGTTGGGGCTGTGAGCAGCAGGCTGGGGAAACAGCATTGCCCTCCCTTCTTGCCTGTTTTAGGGAGGTGCAGGTGCACCCCCTGAACTCCAGGCAGGCATCAAATCACAGTGTGGATGCACTTGTTGTTTTAATGGTGGTAAAATATCCCAGTATCAAATAGCCGTCTTGAGCGTTTTAGATGGATAGCTCAGTGGTACCAAGTTCATTGTTGTGTAGTCATCCCACCATCCATCCTCAGAACTCTTCCGTGTTTCTGAACTGAAACTCCATACCCGTTAAACAGCAACTCCCCATCGCCATGCCCCAGGTGCTGGCAGCCATCGTAGCCGTCCTAACACGTTCTGTCTCTATGAATTTGACTACTTGAGGTGCCTCATCTAAGTGGAATCACACGTTTGTCTTTTATGTCTGGCTTAACTTCACTCAGCATGATGTCTTCAAGGCTCATCCATATTGTGGCATGGGTCAGAATTTCATTCCTTCTGTTAAGTCCACTGGGTTTTGATACTGCATCCCAGACCTCATGTACCTACCTGCAACCAAGCTGTTTCTGTCGACAGTGACACCTGGTGGTCAGTACATGACATTGTCCCTTCCTTAATGTAGCTTTAAATTCTCCTTGTTCCGTTTTGGGGCTCAGTCTCGGGTCCTCTTTCTTGTGCATTTCCAGACATCAAAAGAGAAGGATTTCTGTATGTTAAGTGTCTTCCTA